AAGAAAGCCCGATGGCTAAAATGGCCACCGCAGTTTTCTTGTGCAAGAGAGCGTCTACACTGGCACTGATGCTTTTGCACAGAAGCAAATCTTTTGCGCAAAGGTACATGCCAGTATAGATGCTCTCTTGCGCAAATATTTTTAACGGAAACAGCTGAGGTGTATTCCAGTTGGGCAGTCTCGCTGGGATGGGCCTTGTGCTGCTGCTGCTTGACTCCAACTGGAGCCGGCAGTCTGCAGCACTAAAAATAGCACCACGGGGGGCCTCTGCTGCAGTCCCAGCATGCAGTCCTGCCCCGGGAGCGGCTGGAGCTGTGGGGGCTTCTAGGGCCAGACCACAGGCTCCAGCCCTGCAAACTGCTTTCTGGAAGGCATAAGGTGAGGGAAGGGGCTGGGGGAGAAATAAGAGGAAGGGGCTTGTGTTGAGGGAAGAGGTGGGGGGCCAAGGCAGGAGAAAAAAGGGGAAGGCACCAAGCAGCAGGATGGAGGAGAGAGAAATGCTAGGGGGCCAAGAGGAGACAGGAGGGGAGAAGTCAGTAGGGGTGGGAGACGAGAGGGGAGAGACAATGGGGGCAAGAGGAAGGAAGAGGAGAGGGGAGGAGTGTGTGCCTGGAGAAGAGGCATTGAAAGGAGGGGTGGGCATAAGGAAGGCAGGGGATGGAGCAAGTCATGTGTGAGGGCACAGAGGGGCATGAAGAGAACGGGGTCAGAGAGTGGTGAGGGGGTGGGCACCAGGGAGGGACAGGGGAAGGGGGAGGTACCATGAAAGCGCAGAGGTAAGGGAAGATGCAGGTGCCAGGGGATTGTGGGAGTGAAGCAGAAAGGCAGACACGGGGAGGGGAAGGACGGACACCAGAGGAGAGAGGAAGGGCAGGGGGGTAGAGGAAGGTGTTAGGAGAGGGGATGGGGAGGGGTAGCTATGGATGATCAGAGTGGGGCTAGAGGAGGAGTGGACACAGGGCTGGTGCAGGAGAAGGGGGGTAGGTCCCCAAAGGGCTGAGGGGAGTGAGAAGGGCAAGAGCTAGGACAGCAGAGGAGGGTGAGGGGTGGAGGGCAGCAGGCACCAGGGGAATAAGTGGGGCGAAGGGAGGGTGGGAGACATGTTAGCGGAGGGAAAAGGGAGAGGTTTACAAGATATTTAATAATAACTCGGTTGCCGCAGTGGCAGATATAGGGCAGGGCGAGTGGGGCAGCTGCCCCAGGCCCTGTGCTTCAAGAAGCCCTGCGCATGCGCCATGGCACCACGGCGCATGTGCTGTGTCAAAGGGGGGGGCCCGTCAAATTGTGCTGCCCTGGGCCCCGCAAAATCCTCATCCACCCTTGCACATGGGAACAAGCGCCCATGAACTCAATACTGATGCACAAGACAAAATTCACTCTGCTTGTGGGAGGAAAATCTGAGCGGGAACAGTCCCTCAGCCTCTCCCCTCGCGCTAATGCAATGCAAGTGAATGCTCTTGCAGTACCTCCTACACCTCTGCCCACAGTGATGCTCCTGCTCCCCCACTTCCCGCTCCCATCACCACCCGTTCCTGCCACCCTTCCCTCACCTCCCAATAAATAAAATACACTTGTCGATAAGGCAGTTTTATTTACATGAGGAAGGGAGTGCATAGAAACCAGCCAGGTACCCCCACTACGTCACAGAGGGGTAGCTCACATGATCAGAGTGGGGCTACTGGAGGAGTGGGTACAGGGGGAGAGAAGGGCTGATGGAGGGGGGCAGGTCGCAGGAGGGCTGAGGGCAGTGAGAAGGGCAGGAGTCAGGACAGCAGAGGAGGATGAGGAGTTGGGGGGCAGCAGGCACCAGGGGAGCTGATGGAGCAAGGGGAGGAGACATGGCAGCAGAGAGAAAAGGTAAAGGTTTATAAAATATTTATTAATAACTTGAGTGCCACAGTGGTACATCCAAACAACTCAGTACAGGTGCACAATACAAAATCCATTCTGTTCATGGGAGGAAACTCTTAGGCTATGTCTACACTGGCAGCTTCTTGTGCAAGAACATCTTTCGCAAGGGTTCTTGTGCAAGAAGTCTTTTGCAAGAACATGTCTACACTGCCATGTGCGAGCTGTGTTTTTGTGCAAGAGCATGCATGGCAGTGTGGACGCTCTCTTGCGCAAGAAAGCCCCGATGGCCATTTTAGCCATAGGAGTTTCTTGTGCAAGAAATCCCTGCCGAACATCCACACTACCCTCTTGCGCAAGAGAGCTTACACCTGTTAGAAAAGAGCGTAGCTCTTGCGCAAGACACCCTCTCTTACTACGCCATAATGTAAATTTCCTTGCGCAAGAGCAGGTGGACAGTGTGGCTGCTCTGTGGGTTCTTGCACAAGAAGCTGCGAGTGTAGACATAGCCTTAGAGGGAACACTTCCCCCAGCCTCTCTGCCCCCGAATTAATGTCACACACATTGGGTTAATGCAATTGCAGGATAGTTGAATGAGGCAGGTTTGGTGTGGGCCAAACTAATCCCTGTTGGTAGGAGGATGGTGGGAAAAGTCCTTTGAGAGGGGTGACATGACACCTTTTACTTCTGGTCATGTGCCCATCTTGCCCCAAGCATGTTACCTCCAGAGGCCTGGTTGATGGGGGTTAGAGAGTGTGGCTAATAGGGGTCGGGGCATGGTTAATGTGGGTCAGGAGGTGTGGCTAATGGGGCACCACCAAAAACTATACAAATCTGCCGCCCCTGCTAGGCGTGCAGTGGGAGGGGGCGTCGGCCCTGGAGTAGGAGTATGTCGGCTGCCTGTGCCGCAGGAGCTGTGAATGTAGCACAGTGTTTTCCTGCGCCGCAGGAGGGTGTGTATGTTGGTGGGGGATTTTTTATGTGCCATGTTTTCTTTTGTTTTTCTCAATCAAAAATATTCCTGGGGCCCCCCACCATTGAAATTTTGTATGCTTTTTTTTTTTCCCCCTCAACCAAAATTGCTGCGGAGCCCCCTTGAAATTGTTTGAATTGGGTCCTGCTGGCCTGCCTGCGAGTACCTCGTGGTAAGGCCTGTGCCTGGTCCCTAGCAGGGCTTGCAGAAGTGCCAGGCTTGTCTTTCTGGCCAGCCCTGGTCGCCATTCACCTGAGCTCACTGTGCAGAGGGGGCTGGATCAAAGACCTGGGAGCCCCTTGGTGGGCACAGTAGCAGGGCAGCGGTGGCATCCCTTGGTGAGGGCTTGCCCTGAGAGGAAGGGAGGGATCCATTTGTCTATGTTCCCGAGACACTTGTGACCCACACTAACAACCTGATCACTAATTGAGAAATGGCTGGGAGGAAGGGGAGGAGAAAGAGTTACATAAGTAGCATCTTATATATAGTAGCCCAATGTCTGAGACTCTGTAACGCTGTAGAGTTACGAGTCACCTCTGGGGGGCGCTGTTGCCTCCGTGCTGCATGGAGAGTGTGGGGCCCAAACAGCCGCTTGCGCCGCTTGCTTCCCCGCGGCGGCCCAGATGAGTGGTGCAGAAGTCAGCTGAGCGCCACGGTGGGAGGCGAAGGGGGGCGGGGCGGTGACATGCCACATGACAGCGGCTCCAGGCTCCGCCCCCTGGCTGTGAACATCATCTCCCAGCCCCCCTTGCCTCCCGCTGTGGTGCTCGGCTGACTTCTGCACCGCTTATCCAGGCCGCCGCATGGGAGCAAGCGGTGCAAGCGACCATTTGGGCTCCACACCCCCCATGCAGCACGGGGAGTGCGGAGCCCAAACGGCCATTTGGGCTCCGCGGTCCCCCGAGTAAGAGGCAGGAGGGGGAGGAGAGCTGAGAGAGAGAAAGAGGGGGAGACAGTAGGAGGAGAAGGAGAGGCCAGTGGGAAGCAAAGCTGGTCAGGGGTGGGAGTCGGGGGCAGTGAGGCTGGCCGTGGGAAATCGGGAGGAGGAACAGGCTGGCGGGGGGCAGGGAGAGGGAATCGGCCAGCGGGGAGCTGGACTCATCCGGGTGCATGCATCCCTGACAGAGACAGAGGAGAGTGGAGAGAGATTGAGAGGCAGGAGGGAGAGAAGAGAAAGAGAGAGAGACGGAGCGGAGAGAGAGTGAGAGGCAGGAGGAGGAGGAGGAAAAGACAAAGGGAGAGTGAGAGGTAGGAGGGGAAGAAGAGAAAGAAAGAGATAGAGAGGGAGGCAGAAGGTGGAGGAGAACTGAGAGGGGGAGGCAATAGGAGGAGGAGAGAGAGAGACAGACAGACAGATGGAGTGAGAGACCGGAGACTCAGGAGAGAAGACTGATGTGGAGGAGAGACCTGAAAATCCAGTCTTATGACAGGCTAATTGGCTAGTTAACAAAGAAAAGCCTTACTGAACTTGCTTTAGTGATAACTTTCTAAGTCTTGGAACAGGACTGAAAAACTTCCGACAGAGTGGCTGCAAATTTGTCTATTTGCATGGAAGCTGGGATTTTTCACTGAAAGCCATGAAAGAATTTTGAGAGCTCCTTATAGTGCATAATTCAGGCTTCAGCCCCACTCTATCAAACTCCAATTTCATTTATTTTGAATTTACAGTGATGTCAATTTGAAACTGTCCTGCTTTATTTACTCCCTTCCCTCCCATTTATTTCATTACCTTCATTTGACAGGCACAGGATCTCACCAATTATTGTGAGGTTCATTCTACTGCCTGATTTTATCTTTTGTCTTTGGTGGTGTTCCCTCTAAGAGTTCCCATCCATGAGTGGAATGAGTTTTGTCTTGTGCACCAATATTGAAGTTGTGTGCTTGTTCAGATGTGTGCCACTGTGGCACCCAAGTTATAAACCGCTCCCTTTTCCCCTCTGCTGCCATGTCTCCACTACTCAAAATTCCAGTTGTGCTAGGTAGTTTTCAGTGAATACTGAAATTTAGAATTTGACTTATCTCACTGAATTATCATAACAAGTGCTTTTTTTGTTTAAAAAAAAAAAAGAAAGAAAGTGCCAGTACTAGGGTTATCAGATGTCGACCAAAAAAATTGTTGAACAACAACAACAACAAAAAATCCCCAGGGCCAAAATGTGGTCATGGCCCCTTTAATTACCACATGTCCCGAGCGACTTTTTGTCCAGCGCTCTGCGAGTGCTCCCAAGGTCAGCTGGGGACTGTGCAGATGGAAAGCGGAGAGTGTTTCCAAAAAAAGTAATGGTACGCCATCACAAAAAAAGCACTGATCATAACTATTAGAATCAGGCTGCTAAAGTATATTCTCACATTAACACTCACTGTTTTTTTCCCATTAGACTTTTCATATGTGCCTAAAATTTGTTGTAAATAAATTAGGAATATTTGTGAAACAAGAACTTGCACAGAAATTTAAAAAGATTGAAATAAATATATTTCAAAGTTTGAATAGATATTCACAAACAAACAAAAGTGCAGTTTTGAAAAATGTGGCAGTATAGACATTTACAATATGGGTTAACATTTCTTTTCTATTGTGACTATATCAATGTTAACATTCATCTATGATGAAAAAGGAACTAGCTAAAATGGATCTAAAATTTTAACATTGATTGGAGAACTCCTGGAAGATTAGAAAAAGGAAATGTGATACCAACGTTAACAAAAAGAAAAGCATGGTCCTGAAAATTGTCTTCCATACAGTATCTGTAAAAAACAATCAGATAATGGAGCAAATATTGCCAGAAAAAACACCACTAAGGGCTTGTTTATAAAAGAAATTGACCAGACTAGGTATTATGGAGTAAATTATTCTTCAGCAGCTATTGCAGAATAGTTCCACTTGTTGACATGTTATTCCAGAATAAAAGTCATTTTATTCTGGAATTATTAGTATGCTTTGTGAGTGCAATAATTATTTTGGAATAAAGTGACTTTTATTCTGAAATACAGTGCTCACACAGGGCATGTCTACACTAGGAACCTATTTTGAAATAATGAAACTTGATGTAATAACTCCCAAAATAACAAAATCGAAATAGCTTCTCCTCACTACAGTGAGGCCACTCCCTTGATGTAGAACCCCAAAAAGCACTTGGGAGTAATTAGTTTCAATTAGGGCTGTCAACACATGTTAATGCCTGTGATTAATGCAGATCACAATTAACACATTACTTTTTTGACATGTTAATCGCAGGCATTTCCGCAGTGCTGCCCCTTTGAAATGCCGCCAGGGCGTTTCAAAGGGGCAGCGCAGTAGGAAGCTGGGATCAGCTGGAGTCCCCAGCTAACCCTGGGCTCCGGGCAGTGCTGCCCCTTTGAAATGCCGCTGGTGCGTTTCAAAGGGTGCAGCACCTGGGGGCAGCTGTGTGGTGCTGTGCCCTTTGAAGTGCCATCCTGGTGTTTCAAAGGGGCAGCGCAACACAGCCCGGGATCAGCTGGGGACTCCAGTTGACCCCAGGCTCCTATGGTGCTGCCCCTTTGAAACACCACCATGGTGTTTCAAAGGCGCAGACTAATGTGAAACCCAGGATCAGCTGGGGACACGAGCTGATCCCAGGCTTCCACAGCACTGCCACTGCCCCTCCAGCACTGCATGGAGCTGGAGTCAATCAGGGACTTCAGCTGGTCCCAGGGTCCGTGCAGCAGTAACCCTTTGAAATGCTGCCGCTGCGTTTCAAAGGGGCAGCGGGAGCAGAGCCCGGGATCAGCGGGGGAATCCAGCTGATCCCAGGCTCCTTCAGTGCTGCCCCTAGGGTGGTGTTTCAAAGGGGCAGCTGCACTGAGTTAGGGGTCAGCTGAGGACTCCAGCTGATCCCGGGCTACTGCAGGGCTGTACATTTTAAATGCTGCGGAGTTTCAAAGGGATAGTGCACGTGATTAACTGCAATTAAACTCAATTAATTTTTTTTAATTAAACTGTGCTAGTTTCAATTACTCTGGGGAGTAGTTATTTTGAAATAGTAGCACTGGAGTATTCACATTACCACTATTTCGAAATAACTATTTTGAAATTAGCCTTATTCCTCAAGGAGAAAAGTAGTATACATTGTATATATAGTAGCCCAATGTCTGTGACTCTGTAACGCTGAAATGCTGACTGTTCCCTCTGGGCAGCGCTGTTGCCTCCCACCATGGTGCTCGGCTGACTTCTGCGCCGCTCAGCCGGGCCACCGCAGGGGAGCAAGCGGTGCAAACGGCTGTTTGGGCCCCGTGCTCCCCATGCAACATCCTCACACTACCTCAATATTGATATTGCACATAGGAAATTTCAACCCACCCAAAAGAAAATTCAACCCACTCAAGAATGGAAAATCTTAGCGGGAACACTGGTTAGGACCGTGGTCACCAACAGGTCGATCGCAATTGACTGGTCGATCGCGAGGCCTCAACCAGTCGATCGCGAGGCGTCCTGTCCACCCTGCCCCCATTTCCCTCCCACCCAGGAGAAGCACCACTACCTATCTCAAGTGAAAATGGAGGTAGTGTAGGCTTCCTGGGGATGGACAGAATTCCCGCAGCTTAGCGCCACTTCCGGCGATTCCGGAAGTAGCACTAACTGCTCTGCCGGGTGTACTGCGGGAGGGAGCATCAGCTCCCTGCACTGCACAGGAGGGGTGAGTCAGCCCTGGGGCAGGCGTGCATGGAGTTTTCCTGCACCAGGGGGTTGGCCCCAGGGCAGGCGTGCGTGTGCAGAGCTTCCCTGCACCGCGGGGTGGTTGGCCCCGGGACAGGCACGTGCTAGTTTCCCTCGGAGGGGGGGAAATCCTGGGAGGAGGTAGATACAGGGGAGACTCTGCCTCCACTGGCACCCCACTCCCCAGCTACAGAATTCTGTCCCCACTCCCCTGACCCCAGCCAGAAAACT